AAAAAACCTTAAATAAATAATATAAATAAAGAGAAAAAGGGGACAATACGGCACGAATTAATTACATACCTAAATGTACAGCATTTAATAGCTTTTATTTACAGTTCAAACTCTTTGTAAAAACACAAAAAATAGGATTTTGCCTTTTAAATTTACACTTATGTATGTAGAATTTGGCAAGAATATACAATAGATTTATTATATGCCCTTTCCTAAAATGTTCTGTCATAGGTAAAGAATCCAAATATAACATGTTTATAGAATAACGCAAACATCTTTGTATAAAACATCGATAATCAATTTTGAAACATTTTCTGACAATGCCAAAAAGGACGGGGCACAGTTTGAGGTTGAGCTGTGCAAAAGGTACAATTTATATCTAAATCATTCTTAAATTTCTTGAGAAAATGCTTTGCAGAGTAAAACTTGTGTATAATCTCAAAACACTCCCATACCTCAGGGGAAACTAACAATGTAAAACTGGATCTTAATTCACCACAAATCAGCATGTCTTGTTCTGGATTCAAGAGTGAAAGGCTAGATGTGTTCAGCTCCCTCGTGCTCTTTGTACATGAAATGAACTCAACCAATGAGATCTCTGACTCCCCCGAGCATCTCTTCCTCCAAGATGTGTTTCAACATAACTCCAACATGCTGTTCGATAATATTTACAATGCACTCTACTGTGTGACTGCTGCAGTTTCACACAGTGAGAATATTGATGACTGCAGTCTGTGCACACACACACACACACACACACACACACACGCACACACTCTGTCCTCTGCCTTCCCAAAGATACAGGGGGTCAGTCCACCACAATCATTACATAAAGTGACTTTGAACACTGGTGTGTGGATCACAACTGTAAATTATAATTGTATTTTTGATACTATATGATATTTGTTCTGATATATTTGTTTAAATGTCCTTTAAATCGGTGTTGCTGTGGCGTTTTGTTTTTATTCTTGAGTGCTGAATCTCCTGTCTGCACAACAAATTGGGTAATAACAGAGAAACCTTGAACCATGAAACCCTCTTTAATAAACACGCAGAGAGATTTGAAGTATTTCTTACTTAACTAAGGACCTTTCATATCCACATAAAGACTTGTTAAATAATTTAAAGTCGTTCTTAATTGACTGAAACTCTAAATTGTTGCTGTAAATAGTAGATTAATATGCTGCACAAATAAAATGAAATTTGCTCGAGCAGATTCATGTCAAGATACCTGGATAGTTACCCTATATTGTGAAAGGTTGTGTTATGTCACACCAGCTAAGTATCACCTTATTGTTGTACCCGTTGTACCCGTTTGTTGTATCTGTATATAGTGTATTTTTAGGCTCTCTTTAGGCTTAACTATGGTACAGTCTGTTCAGGCGCAACATATTTTTATGCATGGGAGGAGATTATGTGTCCGGTCGTGTGTTTGTGCGTGCCTGCATGCGCATTTGTCTGTCTGTCCACGGCTAATCTGAAATACTGCCGGACCCATCAGCCTAATATCTTTTTTTTGCGCTCATTTATCACTGTATGCTCAAGTACCTCTCGTGTTTGCATTGATTCCCACTGTTTGAAAAACATGTTTTATTGACTGTTTTATACCTTCATTAACGGCTGACTTACTCTCAATTTGGGATCTTGTTTCCGCTTGGGATTAGGAATTATTCATGACCAGGTCTGCACACCTTGATAAACCTCAAGCATTGGTCCGGTAGTATTCTTCATCTATTTTTCTTTCAACACTGATGCACATGATCATGGCTGTAAGGGGCAGCGCTTTGTGTGCGTGTGTTTGTGTGAGGTTTTGCGAGAGAGAGAGAGATGGTGGCTGCCCTCAGGCCAGACAGGTGTTGGTAATCTGAGTAGAGGAAAAGGTTAGCAGTGAAGTTGTCTAGCGGCAAAAAATGCACCGCATAGCTTCCATTCTGCCCATAATTACTCCTCAATACCCAAGAAGTGAAGCAAGAGTCTGTGGGATTACAAACCGGTTTCTGGACAGAACCAAACTCTGCTCCGTCTGGATTGCTAAATAAATATATAATCAAATATTCCAGCAGTGGTCGTTGCAGAAACTCTACTGAAAGAACTGCTTATCATGTGTCTCGCAATTTTAAATCTATTCCAGTATCATCCAGCAGGGGGCACCAAAATATCCAACTCTGTTAACTCACTGTGTGTGAGCAAGAGTTATGAAGCTACCACATGCACACACACACACACACACACACACACACACACACACACACACACACACACACACCAAATATTACCAAACTAAATTCAAGTCACAAGATTAGCTGTTGACCATTCTGCATTACTGTGGTCTATCATGTGCTGTAATGACATCAACTGAATTGTATTTATTTTGAAGTTTACTTGACTGTTTATCTCCTTCTGCTAATCATATTAGTCTTATGTATTCACTTTGCTCTACATCAATATGGTTTTTTATGGGTATGAGAGATGAGAGCAAACAGGTATGTAGGCTACTGTAAAAACAAAGCATTTGACTTTAATATACTTTAAATACTTAAAAAAAAAATTCCAGTATATATGTGAAATTGAGGTCACTCTGATTTTAAATATTTGATAAAGCTGATGAAATGGCAGGTATATATAATAAGTATAACTTTTACTTTCTCTATAAAACCTTTGACTAGAAAAAAATTTATTTTGAATAGCTATATAATAATTTATTATTTCCATTTTAGCTGTAGAATCTTTAGTTTGAATTACATTTTATTCTGCAGTAAATGACACGGTATTAATAAATTAAAGCCAATCATTGGTTTAATTTCACCATATAAACATCAGGTTACTACTCCTCCTGCACAAAGTGGTGTTTCAATGCACAGCTCAGGTCTGACCTCTGGTGTGAAGCTGCCGCCACTGTTTCCTCGTTCCTTTTCCCACTGTCATGTCACAGTTCATAGGAAAAAAACAGGTGTTAATAACACAGTTAATGATGGCTGAATTCCATTCGGCTGCTTCAGTTTCAAGGCTCCTGGTGTTGTGCATGTTGGCCAACTGTCACATCTCACTGTCACCCTTGAATAGAAAAGACACATTGTTTGTTCTATAAGTAACGCCTTTGCTTTAATGAGCATCCATCTTGTGACTCTTGGCAAACAGAGGAGTCAGAAGAGAATGTAATACGTCAGTGCCAAAAATACTAAGAGGGGCACCTCAGATCGAGTTCATTTGAAGAAATTAGTTTGAGAATGTCTTTAATCACGGGTCAGAGAGCTCATTTTATTTAAATTAGCCTATGTGCGTGTGAGTGTTTGGTCACCTGACCACCATTTGGTGACGCAAGTGACAAGAGTTTATAATATTTGCTTAACACGCAACACCATATGTCAGCAAGCTTACAAGCGGATTAGACCCGTTTGTGCTTCTTTTAAAAAACAGTTTAGTAGGATTCAAAGGTTGTACCTGTTTCATGATAGGGGCTGCACACCTTTTTCTCGAGCTGTCTTTATTATGTTTTGTTACATCATTTTGTCAAAAGATATTCATGGTGCCCAGAGGATGAACCCTTGTGACTTTTGAGATCCCAATATCATGTCAAATTTAAATTGTTCATTTGATTTAGGCCTGCAAAACTATCCCAGCAGCCTCTGCTGTACTTTGTACTCATGTGCTAACTAGCAATTGCTAACATGCTAAACTACGGCGGTGAACTCTGTAGGCTAAATATTATGGCGTCTGCATTGTCATTGTGAGCATGTAAGCGAGCTAATGTTAGCATTTAGCTCAAAACACTGCTCCTGTAGATTCTTAAGGGAACAGTGTGTAACATTTGGGGTGATTAATTGACAGCAATGGAGTATAACATTCATAACTATGTTTTAATCTGTGTATAATCACCTGAAACTAATAATTGTAGTGTTTTCGTTACCTTAGACAAAGCAATTTATATGTACATAGTGAGCGGGTCGTCTTCCATTGCACAGCCATATGTTTCTACAGCAGCCCAGAATATTCACTGGGTCTGGCGAGAGCCATTCGTGTTTTTACGTTATCTGAAGGTAGGGATGCATTCCTAAACCCCGTATTGAGGCAACTACGCTCATGACTGTACTTGCAATAAAATATTTGCTGGTAAAAAGCCAATACTTTATCAATACACCTGTGAACATGTAAACAAAAGTGAAACCCAATTCAATCGGCCACCACCGCTATGTTTACACAAGCACAGCACTCACGATAGGCCAAAGCAGACAGGTGGACGAAAGGAATGACTGATAGTGACAGATGTCCGTGTTCTTCATCCTTTATAAACTTGACTTGTTATTCATTTTATTAACATTTTACATTTGTTTCCAGTGAGATATTAATTACTTTATATTGTGACTTTGTTGTTGTAAACATAACTGTTGCTGCTCTATAAACAATATGTATATATTTTAAATGTGAATTCAAATCCTGTTGTTTTAGAAATTCTGTATGTGTTTTTAAAAGCAATTATTTAGTCATGTAGCAGAGTATTGATAAGAGTTGTATTCAAATCCTTAAGATAATTACCGACACCTGAAGGCCACCGTACTTCTCCAACATGCTTAGAGAGGGAGGGTGTGAGCAGAAGGATATTTAGTTGGTCGCAATTATAGACTCTCTATATAAATCTGCAACGCACCTCTAGATGCCACCAAATCGTACACACTTGGCCCCTTTAAATGTGAGCGTTATCATCGATCTGCTCGGGAAAAACCGTCAGCATTTCCAGCTCATAAGCACGTGGGTTATTCTTTCCCCTCTGCACAGAGTGGAAGGTGTGAAGGGGTTAAAAGATCATCTCGAGCAGCAGATTTCGGATTCAGCAACGTTTGCTCGCTCCGCGGGCAGCGCTGGCTTTCCCATCCGATATTTAAACTCGCTGTGGATTGTGGGAGTCGAGGACACTGCCCAGGCTTGTTCCCGGAGAACCGGAGACATTTTTCTTCCTCTTTTCCCCCCCCCTCCCCGCTGTGTTTTTTTTTTTGTAAGTAACCATAAAAAACCGGGCTTTGCACACCGTTGCGTCGTGTCGGGCGCGGTCGCTTATTCTCGTCCGAGCCGTCAACGTTGTCATTCATGCGTGTGTGTTTTTACGGACATGGAGGCCGAGGACTTGCTGGAGCTGACAGCCGGGGAGGGAGGGGGAAGGAGGAGCGGGCAGCTGCCGCCGCTCAGCCGGGGTTTATATCCACTCGAGAGACTTGGAAAAACACGATAAAGAAATGCCCTCAGCTTGTCTTGACAGCTGGATATCTTCACCGCTAGTGTTGTCGCTTAAGTCTTGATAGAATAAATGTACATGTGCGAGACGTCCGTTGAGCTGTTGACATGCGGAAATCGTTGTCCAGCGGAGAGAGAGAAATGCCCAGAGAGGCGGTTTAAACTCACCTACACCTGTTCGGAGTGGAGAAATGCCGCAGATTCTGTATCTTATTATTTATCTTCTTACTATCTGCTGGTCCATAACGTGATTGGTGGTTTATGTTTTGACACCATGTATCGTGTGAAATTCAACCATTACAGCGTGATCAAGGAAACAGCCGGGCCTTTTGTGGTGCTAATTAATAATCAGTATCAAGACAGCTAATTGATGTCTGCATCTGGTACAATTAAATGTATATATTTTCCATCACAGGCGGTTTTACTTTTCCATAACATTATTTGGGGAAAATATAGCGTTTTACTTGAATATCACCATCAATACATCATAGCATATGAATATGCAAATGTGCATTTAATAACTGACCATTGCGGTGATACCAGGGTGCTAATGGCTTGTTATCAATACAATGATATCCGTACCCAGCAGCATTGCTATCTGTGACATTTAACAGGCTCTGTGGCGTGACAGGGATCTTGGGTAATCGATATTAGGCATAATAACAACAATATTATGTGATATTGTATGTGGTAAGAGCTGGGTGTTGGGATGTAAAAACTATTCAGGATTGTATCAGCTTTTGTTTTTCTCTTTAACGCTGTGGGGTGAACAGGGAAACAAACCTTCAAAAAAGGAATTGCGTTTATTTAGTTGTTAAAGTAATTTAGAAAACAGACTCCGTCCATGAGTGTGATACTGACAAGTGTTACCCATCTGTGTTTTCATTCAGCAAAGACAGAAAGTACAATTTTAGTATGTTTCCAGTGTCCGAATGGATATCGAGTGCATTTTAGAAAGATGTCACACTAGTTGCACTCAATATCTCTGCGTATTCATCTACTCACCGTAAAGGAAGTCAGCCTGGTTCAGATTTTTGTTAATTGGTGATGGCCTCGGTGTTTCCCCTGCAGAGTCTGACACAGGCAGCGGTCTCAGCAAGATGTCGAGCCGAGGAGCAAAGAAGAAGTTGACCAAGACGTCCCGGTCCTCCAAGGCCGGGGTCATCTTCCCCGTAGGACGCATGCTGCGCTACATCAAGAGGGACCTGCCCAAATATCGCATCGGGGTGGGAGCGCCCGTCTACCTGGCTGCTGTCCTCGAGTACCTCACCGGTGAGATTCCTCCGATGGCGAGAGAATGACGAGATCATATATTTGTTTTTATCGTGCATTTTCATATTTTGTAGTTTTAAATGATGTATTTTACTGTTGCACCATGTTTATTATCCCGCACCAATCACAAAGCAACGTGCTTGGCAATAAACAGTTCTGATTCTGACAAAATATTTAAAGAAACGCACACATTTCAGCATAGAACTTATCTTCTTATCACAGATGTTCATCAGGCTGTCACCTACAACAACAACAACAACAGCTGATCTGCAGTCTTGTAATGATTTATTTTGACCCAACTGTAATAGTTTTAGAATATAAAGTGATGCCGGACAGAAAGTAATGCAACCAAAAGAGACACCTGAGGAACTTTTCCCACTAAAACGCCAGCGATACGAGGACGAGATGAAGCATTTTAAAGACGTACGTGTTTTCTGATCTCCTGGAATTATGTAAAAGGGACCACGTGGAAGTCTATTATTGAGTTCACCTCAGCATTCAGAGGCGTGAACTGTTTTCCTAAACCTCGGGTGCTCGATGATGTTTATTGATGATATTTTTTGTTTTTCACCTATGCAGCTGAGATCTTGGAGTTGGCAGGTAATGCAGCCAGAGACAACAAGAAGGGTCGCATCACACCACGACACATCCTGCTGGCCATCGCCAACGATGAGGAGCTGAACCAGGTCAGAGCCCTGCACGTATCTATAAAACCATTTCATGTTGCATTTAGTATGTAAACGTGATGATATGTCACACCTATTTCACCCTCTGAACCCGAAAAAACCTTCGGTAGGATTGAAAAGCATGTTTGTATCAAACAATCGCCAAAACTACACCGTTTCACATAGCCATAGGCTGTACAAGCCGTCATTATCGTCAGATTTTCATCTTTCAGACAGTCCTTGAACACGTCATGTGTCACAAAAAGCAGCCAAACGAAGCTTAGCATTTTTATATTTCATCAAAAACTGCAGGCTGCTGATTAAAGTGCATTGAGGAGAGGACAGGAGAGGTTGTAAAAATGTGAACACCTACACCGGTGACACTTGAAAACATGTTGAATATATTGATTCCAGTGTTTTCCAATTTTTGTTAAATAAATTATCACAGAAATTCAACTTGCACTTTTTAAAAAAAAAACAAAATTATTTATGACATTGTAACTGTATTATTCTGCACAAAATATATTTTTGAGTTCTCTCTGCTTCTAGCCATGGTTGTGCTGTTTCCATGGAGGTGCAGGATTTATACATTGTAGTGAAAATCAAAGCCACAGAGAACAAAATCGCAACAAAACTGCTCGGAGGATTAAAAGTTCTTTATTTGCCTTTTGTCCAATGCGTGCACCAATTTTTTGTTGATTTATTTCTTACCCTCCAGGCAATGACCTTGTCTTCCTGTCTCAGTTGCTGAAAGGTGTGACCATCGCAGCGGGTGGAGTCTTGCCCAACATCCATCCGGAGCTGCTGGCTAAGAAGAGAGGAATAAAGGGAAAGCTGGAGATGCCCATGTCACCCGCACCCGAGAAAAAACCCAAGCCGGTCAAGAAATCGGCGAGCAAGAAAATGGGTCGGAAAAAGAGGGGCGCGAAGGCTAAGGTACTCTTCTGTTTGAACAGTGGTGATTGGGGATCTACACTCGGAGTATCTGTTGTCCAATGTGGGAAGTTGAAATTGGAAGAAAGAATGGAGAAAGTTAAGTATTTGTTTGGCCGCTCAGCAGCACCAGAACCATTCAGTTGAACCACTTAACGGTAAGGTTTTCTATCTGTAACAGGCAGTGAAAAGTTGAAATAATACCCGAAATCTAACTAACTAGCTTCAGCATTGATACTGTAGCTGGTCCTGACCTCTTAACCTCCCCACAGAGGGTACCAAGAGACAACAATACTCTGTCCTACAGAGGGTCTGATAGCGTCGACATGCATTCTGTGTTAACAGAAGCAGGGCGAGGTGAGCAAGGCGGCGTCGGCGGACAGCACCACAGAGGGATCTCCAGTCGACAGCTTCACCGTGCTCTCCACCAAGAGCCTCTTCCTGGGTCAGAAGGTCAGTTCTCTCTCTGTAGAAATAGACAGACATGTCTGCGCTCAATATATTATCAACCACAGGTGAGTCTGTGTCGATTCCCAAGAAAAACCCCGAAGAATTTCCGAGTTTAAAATTGTACATTTACAAGAACAAACGTGGATATTCTTCGAGATTATGAAGTTATAAAATTGTTAGATTAAAGTCACAAATGCAGTTATTTATCCTGAAGTTGTGTTCATGTGCTCAGGACGGCCTCTGAGCGAGGCGAAGGCCCTGAAAGATTCCTATACACGTTTTCTTTCAAGTTCTCTCTGAGTTATTTTTTGAACATAATACTGATAACAGTATGAATTGTACTGTATCCTCATGTTATTCCTGTTACACATTTTCTTTCAGATAAATCCTAAAGATTGCTGTTTTCTGTTTTTTTTTTTTGACCTACAATGGCCTTATTATGCTGTCGTACTACTGAATTATTTAAGTTTGGAAAGAACAGATACCTAACTCATGCCAGGCTGAAATAAGGCTGATAAATAAGTCAGAGTTCTAGACACGTGTTTGATAACTTACAGAAACATGAAGTAAGACGTTCATAGATACATACTGTGTACACATACAAGGACTCTTTTCTTCTATAATGCCGTACCATACAAATTAAAAGTGTAATATTTCAGAAGTCAAAGGAATAAGACACCTTCTAATACCTGTTTCAGTCCCGGGATCCTATCTGTGTTTTAGAGTAAACTTGATATCTCATTCTTGGTAAGCAACGAGATCAATCGGATGATAAAACTGTAAAACCAAAGATATGTTTTGTATGTTTCTCAGCCGCCGGGTTTTTAATCAAAAATACTTAAAGACTACAAACTGTTAGATCTGCCGTCTGTCATCGACATTTCTATCATAACTGAACCAGATTTAAGAGGTGATAATGTTGCAATGAATTATCTGTTCTGTCTCATACAAAGAAAACTGTTTGTGATATTTTGTAATGGAAGTTTCCATCCCGCTGTACTAATGGGTCTGCTTTGATTCACCAGACTTCATATCGTGGCTTTAACTGTAGTAGCAACCACGAATGCTGTGTTTGTCTACTGCATCTCAGATCCGCCAGATCTGGAGGCTCCCCTCGCTTCGGTTCTGCTGAGCACACAAACCTCTTTTTAACCTTTTTGTTCCTTCTTCTTTTGAACTGCAACGTGGAAGTAAATTTGCCTTTTTTTTTTTTTTTTTTTTTTTTAAGTTTCAAGATCATCAAGACCTGAAGCTCATAAAAATAGATCTGAGTTTGAAAGACATAAGGGGGAGGGGGGGGATAACATGTAAAAGAATGAATGACTCAAGAATGATGCAAGAAGTGTCACTGATTCCCTGTAGTAGATGAATAATACTTGCTAATTTATTATGATTTTGGCTCCTGTGCGTAGTCTTAAAAGTGGTAAATTTACTTCCAGAGCTCAACATTTCAGCTCAGTTGTGACTTTTAAATGCTGCTAATTTCACTGCATGCTTTGGTCTACTGTGCACATGCTAATGATGTATGATTCAACACCGCTGACCTGCTGTCACAGCAGACTTAGTTTTTAAAAGATAAACACAGATTCCTTGGTTGTGAAAATATTCTGGCTCTACACGCTGTTTTGCCCCGCTGCAGTGGCTCGTTAGCGGCCCTCGCTCCTTCCTCAGAGGCAGACCATTAAATAAGAAAAAACAATGATGACAAAAAGAAAAGGTCCCTCAGAAGGTCTCCAGCAGAACCTGAGTCCCAGTGAGGAAGTCAAGCACAGTAACACACCGCTCGCTCTCTCTCGGGGGTTGTCCTCTGCAACAGCATCCAACACAAACTACCCACGCTAACATTCATTCCAGCAGAATGATGATTAATACGGCTGAATATCCGAGACATAATTAACAACTGCAGGCTGTTTTTCACACTCTATACTTAACTCGGAAAGATAAAGATAAGGTTGAAAATCTGCAAATCTTCCCCTTTTTAATGTGAAATCACACTGCTCGACTGTAACAATCGACTACGCCACACTCAGTCACAAGTATTTGTGTGCAGTCATACTTTCTGCATTAGTAAAATGGCTCAGTGCTCGATTGTGTAGCTTACACAAACAGTTTGCGGCCGCTGTTTGGAAATCGGTGGATGAAAATCAAAGCAACGTCCACTGATTAAGATAATGAACCCATGAAGAGAAAAGCGAGTCTGTTCTTCTGTTTTATAGCCTCAATTACCACAGCTGCACTTCTCCTGCCAAAGTGTTCAATCTCAGTCACACTCTTTTAAAATCACGAGTCTGTTGTCAATGCATTGTTTTGGGATGATTTGGGTGAGATATGGTGTTTGTGCAACAGATGACTAATGAATCTTCGACTCTACTAACAGGATGTGAAATATTCCTAACATCTAGAAGGATACCTTGACATTTCAACTTTGTCGTTTTAGAATACTCCCCTCGGTCTTGGTAAAATTGCTGGCTTCAAACTAAATAAAAGATATAAAATATATATATTTGGATTTGTCTTGAGTAGATGGAATATAAACTGACATTCAATAGGAACAGCAGGACTAAAGGGACGTTGCAAGACATTTAATACGTAGCTGAAAAACGACACAAACACTCGTTACGCTCAAATAACTGCAAACAAAACTGCGTAAGATTAGATCCATTTTTGACATGTCACTGAAGGAAAAGCACAGGTATAAATAGAACAGAACCATTGTTAATGTTAGTAACACCTGTGCTTTTCTTACTATGACAAGTCAAACTGTCAGCTGCTTCTCCAACATGTTTCAGCTTGTGACTCATGTCCCTCCTGGTTGAAGCCATTTGTCTGTGCGGACCTAATTATTCAGGCTCTTTCCATCGACATTTTAAATAATTTAGCATTCACCAATCAATGCACCTGCTGTCCTATGTTGACCTTGTGTAGTTGCCACAATTTGCTTTGAAAACGTACAAAATGAAAGTGCAGACTAACGCTGATAAAGCAGTAGCAGTATAACTTTTGTAGCAGTGAGTTTAGTTGCTTGTGTACTCTTGTACAAAGATCGTAGGCTGTCAGTCCACATTTAGACATTCAATTGTACACGTCACTGCACACAAATGCATCTAGCATTCACTCACTGTGTGCTTTCAGCTGTAGTGCCGATATGTTGAATGTTCGGTTCTATAAATCATCAGAAAGTCAAGGTATCCCTTTTTTTTAAGCAGTGGTGTGAATCTGGTTTTAATTGCTTTGCTTCCTCCCCTCTTCCTTCCTGCTCTCCCTCCTCCTCGGCATGCCTCCCCCCTCCCTGCTTACCCTCCCCCCCTCCGCAGCTCAACCTCATCCACAGCGAGGTCAGTAACTTGGCTGGCTTTGACGTGGAGGGGGTCATCAGCCCCACCAATGCTGAACTTGAACTTAAAGATGATCTAGGTGAGCCCCCCCCCCCCCCCATCCTCTCTGGTCCCAGTTTTGAGATTTAAAATCCTTGAATGTTCAAAAGCTCGATAACGGCTCCTAAATGATTCATTTAGGCAACTTGTTCGATGAAAGTGGAAGAGATATTGATTAAATCTACAATATGTGTGGCTTGGATATTTGTTTTTGGTTTAAAATCAATTGACGATCTGATGGAAAAAAGAAATATTACAAAAATCCAGGTGAAAATCGAGTGTTATTGGTTCCATCTCTGCATTTTTCTCTTCACTTTCTATGAGTGTGCTGAGCTCTTTGCAAACCCAGAATAATAAGTTTATCTCAAACTTATTAATCTTTGGAGATCAGCGTCCTCTTGCAGCAGGAAATACAATTAGTTTGGACACTTCGGAACATGAAATATGTCCATTTCATTGTAAGTACATTAAGAGCAACAACAACCTCAGTCAAATTCCCTTGTTCATAGACGCATACTTGGCGACTAAAGTGGATTCTGATTGTGAAATGACTGAAAGATTACAGTAAAACCCTGATGAAAGATGCAGCCGTTCAAAATTAATAAAAGAAACGCTGGTTGCAAAAGAAGGACGTGCGCTATGCGATCAGCCTTTGACGTCTGCTGACCTGGAAAAGCTTGTTGAGTAAATAAAACACCTTCTTTATTATAGTGTGAACGAAGAGAAAGACGGATTGTCTCTGGCAGGTCAATAGAAAATGATTGCATTGAAATACAAATCCCAGCAGCAAGTCGAGAATTTCTGCAGAGGCATTCAAGGATTTTGATCAAAGCGCCTCAGAGCAGTGATCCTGCTTGCTCTTCCTATCGTGTAAATGTGTTGAGGTTCATTCCAGGTTGTCCTCCTTTCAGATGGCTGTCAGACCTTTTTTAAAAACATCTTTATAATCATTGTAAATCCTCGACAATGGTTGTGAATTAGAGCACCAGTTTACAGAAGAAAAGCACGACATGAACCCTTGTTAGCTGCTCTCTGCAGCCAGACTGTGAGGTCGATAGCCTGGAGTTTGATCATAGAGTTATCTGCTCATTTTATATGAGCCAAGAATTCTGGACGACACAATCAGTCAGATGGTCGCTTTCTTAATGTCCCCAATTTTAAAAACTACAAAAAATAAAAATTTGAATATTTAAAAAATGCACTCTAACATGCAATCTGTAATTCTGTGACAGTAAATCTGGCCACGGGTGCCGTCCTGCTTCCTGATTACATAATGTGACCCACCGTGTCCTCACTTGCCTCCTTGTTTCCCGTGATGCCAATAAGGAGCGCCCTCACATCTCTTTTCTTCCTGTTCTTCTCTTTCATCCTTTTTTGTTCTATTTTTTACCCACATTATTGCTCCTGATCTCTCTCACACACACTGTTTTTACCACCATGTTGTTTGCCTGTTGTTGTTGTTGTCGTCTGTAGTTGAAAGTTGTCCAAGCCGACCTTTCCATCGTGGATAGCGAAGCTGTCGTTCACCCGACCAACTCCTCCCTCTATACAGGTGGTGAAGTAGGTAAAGGAACCATCCAACCCACAGAGGCCCGTCTGCTCTCTCTCTTGCTCTCTCTCGCTCTCTCTCGCTCTCTCTCGCTCTCTCCGCATATTCCAGATAGTCTGCACTGCAGTCTGTGGACAAACATCACAGCAGCAGCAGTTTTTATCCTGCGTTGTAGTTATTTAGTAAGAATACATTTTTAACACAACTCCCTGCTGTTCTTCCTGTAAATGCTTCACTGTAGTTTATCTGTGAAGCATTTACTGAAAGAACTATTTCTCTTTCATGAGCGAACACAGTCTTGAAGTGTGCCAGCAGGGACTATTTTATGTATGCGGGGAAACTCCAGCTGCCAAACGGCGTTGCAGTCCCACGCTATGTCTTCAATAAAGCTAGCCCAGAAGACAAACTCAAAGTGGACATTTTGAAAAGGATAATTTGAATTTGGCAGCTTAGTGCAATGAAATAAAAAAAGACTGCTGGTTGGCAGCCGACTGTTTTCTCAGTTTGTCAGAAATTCCTGCGTTTTTTTTGTTTTTTTTATTCACCGAAAATGAAGAGTTTCTGCATGAAAACCAGGGTCTGGACTAGGGCAGAAACACCAGCTTCGTATTTTTACACAAATGTATCTCTGAAACTCTGAAAGCATACTGCTGCTGCTGCTGCCGCTGCTGCTGCTGCTGCTTGTTTGTTGCCGCTTTTGTTCCACTTGACTGAAATGTGGGCGATCTGGGGCTCGCTTCATTTCCCGTTCCCCTCGACTGTGCTGTCAGTTCAGCTGGTTAGAGAGAGAATCCACCAAGTGCTTGATTGAGACGTTAATTTCCTGGAGATTCAGATTCTCCTGAGCGTCGATCACTTGTCAATTAATGAGTGATTGAATGTCTTAACTGTTAAACTACTAATGAGGCCACGGATGATATAAATATATATATTTATGGATCTGCTTGCTCGTATTGGCTGTTTTAATAATTTCAGCTTTTTATCACAAACCTTTCTTTAAAGGACTGATATTAACCTGATTGTATTTGTCTCTCCTGCCCGTATTTTATTGATATTGTAGCCAGAACATTAATTTCTCTGGCTCGGGTAGACTTTAATCAGCTCTCTCCTCTCTGGTTTCCTTTGTGGCTTCTCTGTTTAGCGCTGAGTAAGTCTGATAGAGATCAGTGTGGAATGACGTCCTTTACCCATCAAAATAAGAAGTTTAACTTTAAACATGTATTCAAACAAGTTACAGGAGCTTTTACATTTTCATATATAACGAGCTTTTTTTAAAACCAACTCTTCACTTTAATTTGGGAGTGAAGAGAATGCCCTCAGGTCCACTGCAAATAAGCCGGTATGTGAGGACAGAGGGAAGTAATTAGGGACCTCCGGCTTTAACACATTAGTTTAACCGACTCTGAGTGAGTCATTTGGAAAACAGCAGCCCTGATTCTCTGTTACTTCCTTCGTGAGACATTTTCTACGTCTCACAAATGGAGTAACGGAGACTCTGTGTGCGGCATGAGCTCAGAGAGAGAAGCCAGGTAACAATGATTGACAGCATCGTTGTCTCCATGTCTGTCTGTCTGTCCGTCTCCATGTTTGCCTGCTTGTCTGTCTGCATGACATCGCCTCTCCTCTTCCTGTCCGTCAGCAGTATATGAGGTGTGTAATCACTCCAATCCTCTCCTCCACCGACAGGCTCTGCTCTGGAGAAGAAGGGAGGGAAGGAGTTCACCGAAGCGCTGTCGGAGCTGAAGAAGAAAAACGGCCCTCTGGAGGTGGCTGGCGGTAAGTGCACAGGCCAGACGGTGTCGGGATTTACCAGATTTACCAGTGAATGCTGCTGATTGTGTGGACAAAAGAGATTTGTCTTCATCTTTTTATACGAAAAGCAGAGTTTGTCATTGATGCCTGAGGAACATGAACATTTTGACAAGTTCCTATTCAGACTCTTTCAAGTCCGGCTCTGCCGTTGTTAGTTTAAATTATTATTGTTTATGTAGTTCTGGCTTTTGTCAATTCAACAAGAGCCCTAAATCTTAATTAATCTAATGATAGGTTCGTGACTGTTTTTTGACTTCATGCTGTCAGTTACAGATAGTCGACTAAGATTTAGCCACTACAAGATTGCACGACGTGTCTTATACGACATCTCTGAGCCGATTGCCTGCGATTGTATTCATTCAATCACACTATACGTCAGCGGTCGTTGCAGACACACCTGACGGAGGTCTGAACTCTACCGAGTGCATGTTTTCTAGTTAATTATGTTTTCTAACGAGCTCAGAAGGTAAGAAGAGGAATTCAGAGTTCTGCTTAAAGACGCCTCTGCTTTGTCACAAATAGTTAAACATCTGTATCCATGTGAGAAACGCGTAACGACGGTGAACTCGAGTGTCCTGCACAAAGAGCAACGCTGCAATAACGTCTTCTTCTGTTATCCTTCTGCTTTGGGTGACACTGACTTTTCATCGGATATTATGTTGATATCGACCTACTCGAGCACCAGCCAGCTCTTATAACAGCGATGTGATCCCCTAAATCTCTATATACACACACACACACACACACACACACACTTCTCTTAAAGGTTACATTTTGCTTGAATTTCCATTGTCTTTGAGCTTTTTAGGAACCGGTGGTTATTTTGTCATCATTGACATTTATTATTGGTCATAATATCCGTCCTTGGCGGCTTGAGTCTCAAACTGCAGGCATCGGCCTTTAGAGAGTCGTATTGTTTGAGCCGTCAGATTATTTTATCCTTCAGTTCATCTTTTCTCCACTTTCTCTTTCTGTCCCTCTCTCATTCCTTCTCCATCTGTCTCTCTCGTTCATCGCTCACGCTCACTTTTTCAAACGCTCCCCAGCTTCACCGCTGCTCTCTCTAACGTGTTTGTGTGGAGCTCATGAATAGATTACCAGGTGACTGAACACCGAGCCAGCGGAGCCTGTCAGGGATTCTGGGGATCTGGATCGGTCATCCCGACCAGACCTGGTTCAGAACCGCCATCAAACAAGTGCTTCAGCATGTTTACGATGCTCGTGAAAAGTGTTTGCTCATCTGGATTTTGCGAGCAATCCTCCCTATTTCTTTTGTCATATTGTAATATATGGACAATAAGAAAAACATAGAATAACGATTGGAAGTTCCGTAACCTTTTTTGAAATTGTTGAAATTTGCAGAAAAAAAACGTCGTCATCATCCGCACACTTCACCTCTCGACCAGATCACACATGCAGTGTGACTGGCGCTCGCTCTGCCGTGTGAAGTCTCTCCATCCTCTTTGTGTGCCATCTGGAAATGAGCTCGTCCTCAGCTTTCACTCCGGTCCAGTGACGCGTTCGCTGTGGGCTAATAAAATCTGACTGGAGGCTTTCTCACTTCACAGAGTTCGAAGCTTTTGGCTGAGTTACTCTGTCTTTAGCTGCTGGTTTAACTTCTTCCTCTCGGTCTTCTTCTCTCCTTTTCTTTGCTCCTCTTCAGCTGTCTGGAGAAGTGATTTTTATTTTTATTTTTTTTTCCAGGCCCACCTCACTGTGAGACCCTGGCCGAACCATTTTAAGCTCTTGGAGATTTGCTGCACACATTTTCCACGAAGCAAACGTGTTCTTTTAGCGTCTCAGGCCTTCAGGGTTTTGACTGGTAAATTAAGCTGATTTTGACTGTTTGAAAAAAAAAAATGGACGCAACGTGAGAAAATCCAGCAGCATGTCAGAGGTGAAGAAGTTCACTCGCTGTCTGGCTGAACAAAACTAGCACAAATTTAGCAAAATATGACGTGGTGTCTCAGAAAAGAAGCATGTTTAAGGTGCTGATCCCACTAAATAGAGCAGGGGGCAACTGTTGTTCATTTATTTAGAATAGTAATAGATAAAACATTTGCTGGAAGTTGTTGGCCTCACAGATGAATATCATCCGGTGTCTTGTCTCTTTTTGTAAGTGATGTTTAAGAATATTTCAAACAAGCAATTTGAAGATAGCACTTTGGACTACATGAAACTTAAAGCTGTCCTTGACTAAAGAAGTTTTTTGTTTGTTGACTAATCGACGAGTAGATTTAATGGACAGCCCAAATTGCACCCCTCATAGATCTCTTAAGTATTCTGATTACTAAGGAATGTGCAAACAGTGCAACAGAGACATATTTTACTCCCACTAGGAAGCCTAGCACTTAAACCATCCTGACTTCTCACCAAACGTTTCTACCTGAAGAACGTTCCCTTACTGCTCTGTCCCCCCTCCTTGTTTCCTCTCCTCTTCCCTTCCCACCTCACTAACCGCTCGCCATCCTCTCTTCTCTCCGTCCCTCAGCCGTGTTGACCGCCGGCTTCGGCCTGCCTGCCAAGTACGTCATCCACTGTAACAGTCCAGGCTGGGGCTCCGACAAGTGTGAGGAGATGCTGGACAAGACGGTGAAGAACTGCCTGGCTCTGGCAGATGAGAAGAAACTCAAGTCTGTGGCTTTCCCCTCCATCGGCAGCGGGAGGTAAGAAAACGCACACAGACAGAAGTAGAGAAAACTGTTAGTTACCATGCCATAAATCCTGAAAAATACAAAAACGCAAATAGAATTTCTTTGATAATTTTCTTTACAAAAATGAGCAAACAAGGGAATCTGTAAATAAAACGTTTTTTTCCAAGTTGCCACAAGTGTTACCAATGTTGCGCAGAGTTGAATGTTTTTTACAGGATCTGTTTAGAGTAAACGGTTTGTTTGAGGCTAAATTTAAAATGAGACAAGTAGAATATAATGTTTTTGATGAAATCCCAATTTTAAGCTTGGTTTCGGTTGCGTTTTCTGACAGAAGCGTTAGACACACATGATGTGTTCAAGGACCGTCGGAACGGTGAAAATCTGATGATTATGAACCTTTTTACAGCTTCTGGCTGTGATGAACGGTGTAGTTTTGGCGATGGTTTAAAGCAAACATGCTTTTCCGTCCCTCCAGCGGGTTTCGGGGTTCAGAGCTTGCTTGAGCGTGTTTTCAGTCTGGCTTTAGTTCAACGGACTAAAATAAAGAGTTGGTTTGGCAAAAAAAGTGTGGTTACATAAACATTTTTCGCAAACCTGGTTCCAGAACAAGAAACTGTATCCAAGTTCACCCGAACAAAGGTGATCCATACTCCACTTGGCAGAAAAGCCTCCTCACACGTCTTAATAACATCTTGAGTGGCATACTTGCATCGTCAGCAGTAAAATCCTCCCGCTCATCATGCGTCTCCGCCCACTCGTACGTTTCTCTCAATCCTCTTTGCGTCAGTCAAAACGGGAGTTGACGTTGGTTCCCTGGTAAACACCTCCACTTTGATCGGGGAGATTTCCACAAACATTTAGAGAAAAGCCTCAAAAACTAAACCGATGATTTGTTTGGTGTAAATAAAAACACTGTAGCGGCGTTCCTCGAGTTGCTCCATCACTTTGGTTCAGACTTTAAATATCCCAACAACTATTGGATGAATTGCCATGACATGTACAGCCATTCATGTTCCACTCAGGGTGGATTACTGTGACTTTACTGATCCTGACTTTTAATCTAGCGCTGTGATTCTGTGGCACTCTGTCAGTGGAGTGTGTCTGCGAAACAGTGAGCTAAAAAATTATAAAATTGTGCTGTATCGTTAAAAAGTGTATCTCTAAAACAAACACATTGGGTGTGACACACAGTAATAAGTTCAATATTTTAAAGTCCAAGCATTTCATTAATAATCTGGCGGACCCTAACATTTGTCTTGCGGACCCATTAGATGGCGTTTGAAATGCAGATTTTTTTTTTTCAATAAATTTTGTAAGAAATATCAATATTAACACCATATTGATGTGTTTCAGTTAGTTTACAGCTTAAAAACTGTTTAAGGACAGAGATAAAGGGAAGACTCCTAGGTGTCTATGTGCTTATAGACGATACACTTAAATATCTTTCAGTAACTGATCACAAAAAAAGCTTTCTCTATGCACATGTACCGGCGTGCTGCAACAGGGTAGGAACTATTATTTTTGTACATCTCATGGAGCTGTGATGTTCCACGACACGCACCTTCAAGAGCACACTTTGTTTTGCCCACATAGTATCTGAAATTTGAACATCAGAGCGACTGAATCCTGATGCCAGCAAGAGGTCTCGTACTCTTTAGGCTACTAAAACAAATGCATTCAAGTGATTTTAAATTACGTATTATGTCTGTTTGCTCTTCGGTAAATAACTACGCATGCAGTTGTTAACCCTGTCAGGAGATTCAGTGACTTAAACCAAGTAAGAGTAGCAGAGCTATGAGTAAGAATAAGTAACAGAATAGATAGTCTGCAAGCTGCTAAGCTAATTCATGCAGCTTTAAATGCCAAAAGCATTCAGGATGTGCCTCGTCTCAGAGCTGCTGTGTGAAAACCTGATATTTGTAGATTACAGGACACCTGCAATGCACTGGAGGAGGATTTATGTTTTGTTTATGGAATGTTTATGTACTAAAATGGCTCACGCAGGTACTGGTAATGAAAAGATACAGCTTTTATAATAAATACGGTTATACTCGGATTTTATGAAAGCACTTTCTTAATACAAGGGGGACTTCAGATGTGTCACCTCTTGTATTAATTGATGAAAAAGTAGTGAAGTAATAAATTGAGGATACATTGAGATGCACCGATAACCGTCTGCAGGTGAATCGTACTTGAGGCCGGTGAAGATTCACAGCTCTCATGAATGCCACAGTTATGATGAAGTCTCTCCAGCGTTTGACGTGTGTGTGTGTGTGTGTGTGTGTGCTTTTCTTTCAGGAACGGTTTCCCGAAGCAGACGGCGGCCCAGCTGATCCTTAAGGCCATCTCCACCTACTTTGTGGCCACCATGTCTTCCACCATCAAGACCGTCTACTTCGTGCTGTTTGACAGCGAGAGCATCGGCATCTACGTGCAGGAAATGGCCAAGCTGGAGACGAGCTAAAAGAGTTCGGAGTATTCGCCTCCCAATGTTATTTTAATTCTTTTTTTGCATTACGTTTGTATTTTTTCCTATATTGTTTTTAATTTCTCATTTACTTGTCACCTCTGGCGTTTAAATGTAAAAGTGCACTGCTCATTCTACGGTCTTTTAATACAAGCAGTGCTCTACGAAACGGATTCAACAAGTGAAAGGACTCACTTTAAGATTTACTCTTTTTTTTTTT